TTACAAAAAGATCTGAAGCTCTCGACCTTGACCTCTCTAAGTGGCTTCAAACATCTGTTAAGTTCATGGCAAAAACCAATGCTGACATGTTCTTATTTAGTATTCTACATCTCTTTACAGTGTAGCTGTTTTTGTTTCATTTTTTAAGTTTATTTTTCCCAAGTTATATGCTTTATGATTGTCTACTGTTGTCATTGTTGTCTACTATTGTCATCATTCTTTGCTTAAAACAAGTCTCTCTTGTAAATGAGTCGTTGAGGCTCAATGAGACTAGCCTGTATAAATAAAGGATGAATGTGGAAAAATAATCAGAAATTCTTTATTATAGGAGTCTACAACAAAACCTGTTGTGTCCCTCAAAAATACTTAATAACAAAGTAAAAAAGGAAAAATCCTGTCAATGCTTTATAGTGTCCAGAAAGTGGATTTGATGCCGGTTATTGTGCTGTGTGTTGAGGTGTAATGTGGCTGTTAGTTCAGACTCTTGTTCCATGTTACCACTGGAGAAAAACCTCAAGGCTATTTTAGCAAAACAATGTCAATGTCATTATTTCAAAGACCTAGAATGAGTGAAATTTGATTTTGATCTCTGCAGATAAGCAATCGTGTATTTAAGTGAGTGCCTATAGTGTCCAGGCTTTAGGCCACTGGTAGGATAAACCTGCCTTATCCTCCTTAACCTTCATACTCACTGCTGCCACAATTGTATCCAATTCTAATGTTCTTAAAAAAAGACCTCTTGTATAAATATTGGCCTCTGAGGAGAATTGAGTGTATCCCCTGATGAGAATAACACATTGAGGAGCTACCTAACTTTTACAGAGGGACACACAACCGTAGGCGGTGAGCTGCTTCTCATTCAGATAGACCTGAGAGGGAACAATTAAGCCTGATTCTATTCAGAAGGTATTTATGGAGAAAATGAGGAGTCTTCATCTTTACCACTGTCTGAGCTAGAATGTATACAATACTCTTTGGACCATATGCCAGTGATTTATCATAACTGCAGGAAATGACATACAATACATTAGATTCTGTTAGTTTGATTCTCTCAGACACCCATGCAGTGCACCAATGCAACACAACCCAACTGGTACTAATAAAACAAACAGCAGCCTTCTGCACTTCTAAACAGTTTGCTGTTGTGCTGACACGTGCTGTATTAATTAGCCCTGTTAAGGATATAATAACCACATGCTGTGTTAAGCATGAATTGTTGTAAGATGTTCTTGTGTTCAGAGTGGTTGCTGGTAGGTGAACGGGATGAAGGGGACTGGGGAGTGGGGGGGTACTCAAATAAAAATTTAATAATTGCCAAAAAATTCAAGTACTGGTAGTGTTTTTCTTAAAACGAACATCTCTAATATCTACATGCCTCTCGTTTTACTACTCTGGTGAGCAGTAAAAAGAGGTACAGTATATGTTTTTGAAAAAATTCCTTATTATTTTGTTTAATAAATAATGACATAATGGATTTTTTTGTGTTTTTGTACACTTTAGGTTAGAATAATTTCTGAATCTGATAAAGAGCAGAGGCCTCGTACAAAGTACATTCAAAAACGTGGCGTATGTCCTTTTCCACATTTAAACTTCAAATGTATCAAGAATGAAATGACTATGGAAATGTGAACAGTCCCATGCCAACGTCATGACTGGTAGCATGTTTTTATAGTTAGTGGTCCATCGACGACACATATACTGCAAAACTGTTAATGATGTGAAAACTATTTTTGTGCACATCGGACAGCGGACACACATGAAGCACAAACATCCACATGCATGCAATTAGATGATATAAAAGTAAGCGCAAAGTGGTGCAGAAAATACCTTTAACAACAATGGCTTTAGCCTTAATAAAGGATAGCAAATGGCACAATATGCAGACAGTTTTTAGAGTCAGAGAGGATTTTCTGGCCCACAATGACTACTAGCTCATCAGTTGTTTCAGGCATCCAAGGACAATCCTTTGGAACTGTGCTTGGAGCTGCAGCCAGTCTTAGAGCACAGCACAGCGAGGAGCCGTGCAATGCCCATACACATACACATGCTGACCACACTGGCGTTCTTAGCAACAGGGGCAATCCAGAGGGAACTGGCAGACCAATCGGGATTGTGCCAGTCCACCCAGAGCCGAGCCATGCCAGCTGTGTGAGATGGAATTACCCACTACCGGTAGGTATATAAAATTCACTATGATGCAGTTAAACAGGCCAATATTAAAGTGCAATTTGCGACTGTCAGTTTTCCTAATGTAATCAGAACTAGCGACTGCAAAAGCACCATCACAAGATGAATACATTTATGTTAACAGGAAGCATTGTCATTCACTCAATGTGCAAATTAAATGTGATGTGCTAAAGCAACTAGCCAACATTGTGGCGAGGCGGCCTGGTTCAATGCAAGATTCATTCATTCTAATGAACAGCATGGGTGGGAAGAGATTACAGGCTGGCACGGTGCGGGATGGGTGGCTTCTTGGTGAGTAAATTCATTTAATTGTCCTAATACTGTATGTCTGACCATTTTGTCTTAATTCTGCAGGTGTGCGTTGCTCTGACCCCACAGCATTTACAGCTGCACAAACATCGTCCCACTCATTCTTCTTGCACCTGGCCCTAATGCCAGAGGACAGTGTGCGAAACAGAATGTTTTAACGTGCCTCTACCTCATTTAGAAGCATCTCCAACTCACATTCCATTAAGTTCCTCTTCATCTCAGGTAGACATGTTTTTCAAAAGTGTAGAGAAGAGATTTCTCAGATGCAGGGCAGATTTAAATCTATTTAATGGAAAGTGTGTGAATGGAGGAGTCAGGTGCACCTCATTTGTGACCAATTCCACGTTGATTAGGATATACAAAAGAAGTGTGCTTGTATTCATGCGTGTGCACGGTTTCATACATGTGGATTTATTAGTGCATACGCTGTTTTCTCGATTTATTCATACGCTATTTCAGTAGGAAATCCACACAAGTCTTTGCATATGAGGTCCCAGGTCATTTTGAATATACCTTGATAGGTTAAATCCGAGATTTGAAAGAGTGGACTTTTATCTTTTCATGACTGCACGTCTTACAGGAAACTATTTTTGGCTTTAATATACTAGTGTGGTCTGGGCATCTGGTAAGGATGCTTCCCGGGCGTCTCCTAAGGGAGGTGCTTCGGGCATGTCCAACTGGGAGGAGACCCCGGGGAAGACCCAGGACACGCTGAAGAGAATATGTCTCTCAGTTGGCCTGGGAACAACTTGGGGTCCTCCCAGAAGAGCTGGAAGAGGTGGCTGTGGAAAGAGATGTCTGGGCCTTCCATCTCAAGCTGCTGCCCTCGAGACCCGGCTTCAGAACAAGTGGAAGATGATGGATACTACTGTGAACAGTCACAAGTTTTATTTGTGCCAGTGTTTTTTAAAAATTATTATCCTGTAACAGCATCTCACTTTGCCTTTGATGACAGACCACCTTTAAGAGAATGAAAAGATTAACACTGAACCTAAGGTCTAGAGGTCAATCTGTAAACTGTTAAAGCATGCCAACATATATTACTCATACTCAATGTAAAAACATGGAAATTAGAGGAATTACTCACTGGCCATTTAAGAATTCATAAACACAGAAAAAAATACATTTTTGACTGACAATAAGAAAGGGTCACTTTATGCACATTAACAATGCAACTGTTCCAGCAAACTGTGTATAATCAAACTGATGACTTTTAAACAAGTCAGAAAAAAAAGTGGTCGCTGTTAAAGAAACTGCTCGTTGATTGTCCAGTGGTTTTCACAGCTACAGTAAATGGTAAATGGACTGTACTTACATCACCTTTCCATCTTATTGAGACACTCAAAGCTCTTTACACTACAATCTGTGCCTCATTTACCCATTCAAACAGCACTCTACTAGATCTATACAAAGCTAATTGAACAAATCATTCTAAAGAGACTAATCAGAGCTCTATCACATTCATACACTGATGGGACACACATCAGAGGCGATGAGGGGTTCAGTGTCTTGCCCAGGGACACTTCAGCATGTGACTGCTGGTGGATTTGAACCCCCAACTCTTGCATTGGAGGACAACTGCTCTAACCAGTCAGCCACAGCCGACCCAGTAAAGTCATCCCTCATTCACAGGTTAACAACCAGACTTTGCAAAAGTAAATTAAACAAGATGCAAAGATTCAGTTGTGAATTGTATATCTCATTTACATTCAGTTTTCATCAAAGAGGCCTATTGTGTTGTTTAAACATTCAAGAAAGTTGATTGAAGAGAGACATAGCAGACCCCCATGAACTGGTGCAACGACAAAATTTAAACCTCATTGGTTTTGCTGTTGAGCAATACAATGAGTTTCAGTAAAACCAAAATTTAAACTTAGAATATTTAAATATAGTTTTGGATTTAATTTATTCTAGTTTATCAATGCATAGGTGAATCATTAATGTGAACATCTTTCATACCATCCAAACTGAAATTTCTACTGTTTTTCTGATTTCCAGGAGCTCTCCTTGATGGAGGACACAAAGTATTTAAATTTCAACTTCATAATTCAAATAATACTACTAATTACTATCACTACAGATTACCGTAGTATTCATATTAATACCTCAAGTGCCCTGAGGGATTGACTTGAGAAATGCAAGTTTTGCTATTAAAGTTCTATTTTGAATGTAGATGTGAAGACCACTAACAACTGAGCACATTACTCTCAAAGTGTTTGGAACTGGTCTTTCCCTAATGTCTCCATCTCCCTGCTGTGCCTCTCCTCAACAAGGAAGTTCTACCATGGCAGGGCACGTCATAATTTGAAAATCACAGCTCTGGGGCATTCAGTGAGAAGCTGTTAAAGCTTTATTACAAAGTGGGACTTTTATGGACAAAACCATAGGCAATTAACAAACCAGTACACCTTTGAAGGCCATCTTCTACTCCTTGGAATTAAAGATGCCAATAAATTATTTTCACTCTAACACTTACTCTCCATCAGAGAAACAGTTACACTCACCTGAACAGTGGAGCTTATTTCAGCAGCAAAGCCTCCTGTTACTGGTGCTTCATGACTGATGAGCAAACGTCCAGTTTTTACCACCGACTGAAAAGCAAAAAGATGTTTAAAATGTAAATGGCAAATCCACAAATGTAGTTAAATAGTGGAACACAGAGCATATTTATTCTCAAATAAAGATTTCACCAAGTCAACTCATGAGAAAATGATAATTATAGGTGACAAGTGCTGGTTGATGGAAAAACATTTGACCAACATACATTTGCAAATGGAAAGGCTTTAAGTTAGAACTGTAAGAGATACTCTGTAAAGGTGAGAACTGCTGGAGGTGGTACCCTTGAGTACTGGGTGTCGACATGTAGGGTTGGGCGATATTTAGATATGTTAAAAGTACTGAGTTCATTTCATACGTCATATAAGATGGCACTATATCGTTGACAGTAGTTTGTTTTTCGTGGACTCGCTCTATCGCAGTTTTTCAAAATAAGATTGGACATGACACACAACTGACTGATTGATGGATGAGTTGCACAATCGGCATGGAATGTTTATTTAAAATAACAACATTTAAAATTATTTACCACCTGCCTCACAGGTCTGTGTGCAGCCCACATGCAGAAGCTCCCTCCTGCAGTGTGTCATATCTCTGCTCTGCAGTGGAGAAGTGGGCATGGCCGAGAGCGCTGGCAGGAGGCAGAGAGCAGCCGAGGCAGAGAGAGGGACATTATGACATTATGTGCTATATATATATATATATATATATATGTATATATACAGACCCTTTCCAAAAAATTAGAACATTCAAAAAGTTAATCTTTAATAGATAATAGATTCAGGGCCCACAATTTAAACGATTTCAAGTATTTATTTGTTTATTTTTTCATAATTTGGGCTTCCAGCTCATGAAACCCACGAAAACAGGATTTCAAAAAATTAGAATACTGTGGAGAAATCAACCCACACTACTCAGTTTTTGCAGAAAAAATAAAGAAATTAGGATCACAACAAATCAATCAAAATACAGTACTTTAAAAACGATATGTCAATCTTCAATACTTGGTTGGTGAATTCATTCACTCATCCCACTCTTTCTGGATCTCTGCCAGATTCTGGAATCGTCTCAGTTTGATAATCCGCTGAAGCCCACGGTCATCTCTTTGGCTGGTGCATCTTCTCCTGCCACATTTTGCCCTTCCACTAGACTTTCCATTGATATGCTTAGACACAGCACTCCTTAGCTATGAACTTCTGTGGCTCACCCATCCTATGGAGGGTATCAATGTTGGTCTTCTGGCCAGTTATGTCTGCAGCCTTCCCCATATTGAACCGAACTGAGACGAACCAAGCTGAAGCAATTTAATGACACCTGGAGAAACATGTGCAGGTGCTTTGAGTTTAGTGGATGATTAGTGTCGCACTCAGTTTAAAACATTCATGTCCTGCAACATTTGGGCTGATGTCTTCACAGTATTCTAAGTTTTTTAACTCCTGTTATTGTGAGTTTCATGAGCTGGAAATCCAAATTATGTAAAAATAAACAAATAAATACTTGAAATCATTTAAATTGTGGGCCCTGAATCTATCATCTATTAAAGATGAACTTTTTGAATGGAATTATGGAAGTTAAACAACTTTTCCATGATAGTCTAATTTTTTGGAAAGGGTCTGTAAGTTCTTCTTTTCCTCCCCGTCTGCGCTCAACTTCACGTCCCTCCTTTCTTCCTCACTGAACACAAACCCAGCCCCTCACCTAAGCGTGCTCCCCTGCCTCCTGCTTTTCCAGGTGGGTGGAAAGTTTAGCACAACAAGCAAACACAAAATGGAGGGCATTGATGAAAACATGGGAGAGGATATGCCAAAAACAAGTCCAGATAAAAGCTTTGTGCTACGGCCCCGACTGTGAAGACTACAGCCTGTTTCCCTGAAACAAACCATGGTACAAAACTCATTTAGTCGTGCTGTGCCTTATGAGAGGGAAAGTGAGAGGTAGTGCGACATTAATAAAGCAGTAGCTTATCTAAAGACACGGTCCCAGTCTCAACTGTGGAACAAGACAGCTAAAGACAACGGGGCAAGCGTTGTGAAGGCGGCACAGATGAAGACGTGTCTGAGGATGCAGTGTTTGGGTCACCTGGCCATTGGTGAGTGCAGTATTACAATATTCAATCAGTTGCACTTTCTAAAGTCCTCTCTCTCTCACAGTGCTTGAACTGTTGTGTTCTCAATATGTTTGTACTTTAATTTGAGCTTTGCACAAGAGATGCACTGACTAAAGGATGAAATCTTGTTCATGTCATCTAATCTGTTTACATGTTTTATTATTTGCACAAAAAGGTGCTTGTACTGGAGCGCACAGGAGAATGCACTTTGGTGAATTCTATTTCATTCGAATCAGACTTTTTAAAGAGCAAGTCAGCCTTTTGTATGTTTGCTCTGTGTCCTTTCTGTTTACATTTTAATTGCACAGCTGTGTTTTGGGTTTTGTTATGCAGTAAAATAACTTTATTTTATTTTAAAGAGGTTTATTATTTAATATAGATAGTTTATTTTTGAGACATTTATTTTGTACAGTTACAGCTGTTTGTTAATAAATGTACCTATGTGACAACTGGGACAAAGCTTTGACTCAGAAATATATTTTTGTTATTACTTTATGTAAAGAAAATAAATATTGGGATAAATATTGGATATCATCTTGAGAGATTAATCTTGGTCCATATCGTCCAGCTCTATTGACTTGTATGAGTAGTTCACATGCTTCTCCACGCTGTGTGCTAAATCTGTTGACTTCCCTCAGGGTGTATTTGTGTCTGTGTTGTGCTGAATGTGTGAGTGAATACATAAAATAGAAATGACACGACATTATGAGCTCAAGGGCTGATTTAGGCTGGCACACGGATCCAACTGGACAATCATGGACATTAGAGGTCTCCACCTCTGAGGCATTTCTATCTGGGTTTTCTGTAACCTGACATTACAGCAGAGGGATGCATTCACCACACCCCTTATCTACAACAGCATAAAACCAATACTATACTATAATCTTATCCACTCGCCACTTGTCCAAACCAAAGTATGTCTATTCTCTGCAACCTCTGCAAACTTCTCCTCTCTACCCAGTTGTGGTAGCTTACTTTATTTCTAGAAATAAATAGGGCAAACACTTTTAAGAAACAGCATAATTACCAAGAATGTAGACAATGATGGTAGCATTACTAACAGATTAAGAAAATTTAGTATGATTTAAAGAAAACCAGTAAAGACTAGAGTAAGTAGAAGGAATCTCTGGTTGATAATGAAGAATGTATATTTTCCACAGAAATAACAGCACTAAAACAATGTACAGTAGATGAAATTAAGCACAGAGTGGTGACTATTGCATACTTCTTTATCCCTCAGAGCCACGAACCAAACCAACCTGCCATGGTAACTTATATCCTGGCAAAAATACATAACACATATGGCACCGTAAATTAAGCTCTACTTCCACACAGAGGTATTTTGGAGCTTCACCCTGATGCTAAACAAGAAAATGTTTAAGTAGCTGAGGTCACAGGTTTGGCACTAAACACTAAATAACCACGTGTGCCACTGTCACTCAATTGCATTAGAGGCCAAGAGTCAGCATGATGTCACTATAATGCTAACATGTTCAGGGTAGATCACAGAGTGAGACGAGTTCTTCAGAGAAATATAAAGCTTTATTTTACGTAAAACTGAGGCATTCAGACAAAATTCCCTGTTAAAGTTAATTCTGAGGCCCAATTGCAAGTAATTTGCTACTATATGAGGTGAAAGAGTTCAGTCAATAAAATGATTCTATGACACAGTCTTCAGGAATGTGAAAGTTAATAATACTGGAAGACAATAACAACAAACTGCACAGTGAGGAGGAATCAAGCGGCGAGCCGAGAGCTGGGCGATGTCTTGATATGACAAGCTGCTGTAAGGTTTGCCTCAGCTCCATGACTCACACAGATCAGGTGAATAAACAGAGCTGCGGCCCAATCCTCCACTCCACCCTGACGCTGAACCCATTCCTCATCTGAATTCAACCTGTACACAAAGACTGCTAACATCCAATTTACACTGAGGCTCAAGCATTGCCTAGATTTCCCTGTTAGTCCATTCCCTCAGAGACATGTATCACTGATGCACCAAAAGGGCATTCTTTGCATATTCTGGATATGATAGAGGCTCTCCTTTGCTTTTATAATACTGCTGGGCAAAATTTCAGACACTCAGGCCTAGAAAAACATGTAATCCACTTGACAAGTTTTGCCTACAGTCATAAGACTTCAAAACAAATAGAGCTAAACTATTCACTATCAAGAAAAGCCTTTTTAGTTTAGGCTAAAATAGGCTAATATAATTTTACACTGATGAAAATTTAAAAAAATTAAACATTTTTTTTATCGCTGTCTACACAGAAGGAAATGCAACCCCAGTCTACAGTTAACGTGCCTGTTTTGACTCACTGCTTGAAGTCCAATTACAATTTAAATCCACATAAAAAAGACAAACATTATATATATATACTCATTTGTTTTTCCATCTGACAGACAACTGTTTCAGAGCCTCCGTTACTTTAGCTGCAGCCTTTAAACAAAAACTGCTTCTGGCTCGAGACAGAACCATTCACTCATCACGTGGTTTGACCCTTCTTCCTCTACATTCAATCCTCTTATTTGCCCATGATAGCCACCTTTCATGCTTTCAAAAGTGGGACTCAAAACATGGACAAACCCTCTACTTTTACAATGACCGTGGACACACAGGAAGTACAGTGGCCTGAGGAAGATGATGATCCGTTAGATGAATCCAAGCAGAGAAATTATGTCCTTTGAGAGGCAAAGACGGTTCAATGTATCACAAATCTTTCAATATAACCCACGGAAGACGTGATGGAAAGAGGGATCTTTTTGTTAAGGCTACACAAGGGACATGTATCTAATGAGTTTATTACTGGGTGGCTCATGTCCAGTCAATCAAAGGGGCCAAATGAAGAGCTGTGCAAAAAGCAAATTGTGCACCAGCAAAAAGGCAGTGTGGCCGTGGAAGACGTTATCCAATGAACAGTCACCAGA